TTTTTTTTTTTTCAATTCAATCATCGTTCAGGGCAAGGTCTTCTACCCCTTGGGTCTAGTCCCACCTACAGCGTTGAGTTTTCTCAACGATGAGCTTTCTATCACGTGTGGCATGGTGGGACGGAGCTCTGCCGTTGATGTATTGCCAATCTAACGGTACCAAAATACAAGAGAATAACCTATTAGATTTAGTCATTTTGTAGATTTTTTTTTTGACGTGAAATCCGTTTTGTAGTATGCGTTGGCCCTTTTGGTTTGGGAGGAAAGCCATTTTCCGTTGAGAAAACTACCCTACCGAGGGTAGGGTACATTTCTCAACTTCAGTGCCTTTCCTTTTTTTTGTTTTTTAAGTCCTCATTGCATCCTGAAACTGAGGAACTCTGACAGCTGTGTTTGGCTGTCTGGCATCAAACTCGTTTCCTTCTTTGGSCAATGAATGCATTTGGCCATCCACGTCGTCCCTGTCCATTTTACAAATGGTGACCTCCTGTCCCCTCACCACGGGGAGTATCCTTTTTTCAGGGAGACGTTCACTCCGACTGTTACAGACATGTTTCATTTCTCCCAGTTACGTTATAAAAAATAAGGAGAAAAGCTGTTTCTAGCGTTTTTTTCAGTTTTTTTATTTGTTGTTTCGAATTTATTAATGTAGACATGGCGTCACACCGTTGAGTTTTCTAAACTCAACAACTGTAGGTGGGACCAGACCCCTTGGGTGGTTTAAAGTTTTGAACTGATAGGAACAGAAACTGCACTTCATCTTGCCCAAAGGTCGAGAGGGAGAGGATTCAAAATTGCTGACCACTACGGGATTCGAACTTGGGTCTGTATTTCAATGAAGGCATGCAAGGTGATGGATATACGGCTCTGGTGGATCGGCTGTGACGTTTTGTTTTTTTTTTTGTTTTTTTGTTTTTTTTGTGAAGTATCTGTTTTATAAAGGCCTGCCCTATGTATTGCACTTTTTTTTGGACACTCATTGTGTCGTGCTCATCTAGATGTCGCTGGATTCGAACTTGGGTCTCTACTGCCTCACACTTTACGTCGTCACTGACTACCAGATTCGCGGTCACACTCCTGTACATGCTGGGAGGCTAGATGCACACGCACGTTTTTGGTTCCGACGGTGGTGTAGCGAGGCCCAAAGTGGGAACAGGCAGGCCGCGTCCGGGCTACCGCGCCCCGGTGCTAGGTCCCACTTACACGAACATTAAGCGATATTGACCTTAGATAGCAAGGATCAACGGCCAGAATCTTTTAATCCGTGCAAGTGGGACCCTGCCCCCGGCCAAACGAATCGCGGACGAGCAGTAAAGCCACGTCAGATCGTTCGGAGCGCGCGTGCGGGAAGGATACGTACCGGCAGCATCGCCTGCCGAAAACGGGCGCACGGGCGCGCGGGCGCGGACGGGAATGATACGTATCGGCAGCGTCGCGCGCCAAAACCGGTTGCGGTTATCGAGGGGGAGGCACGCGACTGGCGAGCGGGAAAGCGGGCGCAGTATTTGACGAGTGGCGCGAGGAGCCAAAAGACGACGGGCGGGTCCCTCTGTGTGTGTGTGTGTGCGCGCGCGTGTGTGTGTGTGTGCGCGCGCGTGTGTGTGTGTGTGTGTGTGTGTGCGCGTGTGTGTGTGTGTGTGTGTGTGTGTGTGTGTGTGAGAGAGAGAGAGAGAGAGAGAGAGAGAGAGAGAGAGATGGGGAAGAAAGGAAAGGCGGCGTCGTCGAGCGGGGGGGGAGGGGAAGCGAAGGGCGGGGAAGGGAAGGGGAAGGGCAAGGCGAAACCTTCGGACGATCTGAAGACTTGCACGTATGTTAAGTGCCGCCATATCTTGTGTGAGAAGCAGGGGAAGATCATGGAGGCCTATAAGAAGCTTGAAGAGGGTTTTTTGTCTAATGGTGACAAAGTACCCCCTGCCGAATTTGGAAAATTGGCTATGGAGTATTCGGAGTGTCCATCGGGGAAGAAGGGGGGTGATTTGGGGTGGTTCCCCCGAGGAAAAATGGCGGGGCCTTTCCAGGATGTCGCCTTTGCGACGCCTGTCGGCGGCTGCTCGGCGCCGTTCAAGTCCACGCACGGATATCATGTCATCCTCTGCGAAGGGAGGAAGAACTGATTGACAAAGGAAGAGGAAGAGGATGAGGATGAGGATGGACAGTGTACAGAGATAGGGAAACAGGATTGATGGCATACCTGCTTGTTATGCTACCGTAGTCATCAAGCACTATCCTGTTTGGCACGCGCATGGAGGTTTCTCTCTTGCGCTAGTCGTGTACTTGTGTGAATGTGTGGTGGGACTATCCGTTTCTTTCTTTTTGTCTGTATACAGTGAATGTATGTGGTTGCATTCAGATGACGCGGAGGGTATGGGAATTCTGAGGAAGGAAGAATAGGAGAGTGTGCGTGCGTGTCTTTTTCTTTCTTTTTTTTTGTGTGTTTGTGTGAGAGTAGCGCGGAGGGCGGGGAAGGGCGTGGATTTTTTTTTATTTTTATTTTTTGTGTGTGTGTGTGTATGTGTGTGAGAGAGAGAGAGAGAGAGAGAGAGAGAGAGAGAGAGAGTCGTTCTGTGAAGGACGGGGAATGTGAGTTCGAATGCCAGCTTATGCGCGCATACGATGGGGTCTTGTGTTTTCTGGTTTTTCTTTTTTTTTTTTTTTGGGGGGGGGGGTTGTTTCATTTATGATATTGTAACCCGTCTTGTCTTTTTTATGTGATGTCTGATATGATAATGACCTGGTTAACAAGGGGGATGAAAAGTTTTTGGAAAGGGAGAAAGAAAATAAAAATAAAAATAGACAAGCTCTTGAAAGTCCGTGTGTATAACCGGCCGGCCGCCTCGCCTCTGTCTGTGGAGTTATCACATCTCTTTCCTTTTCCTTTTCTTTTCCTTTTTCATCTCTCCCCCCCACTGTCCCCTCCTCTCCCCCCCGCCTACCTCTCCACCGCCAGTTTTTTTTTTTTTTTTTTTTTTTTTCCCTGTTAGTAGGTCGTACACAACACCGTCAATTCTCCAATCCCCGTTCCTCTTCTTCATCTTTTTTTTTTCTTTTTTCTTTTTTTGGGTCCATATCGGACTGATAAATGTCGATGTTCTTTCTATTTTGCCTGCCCGTCTACGGTTTCCCCTCTCTCTCTCTCTTTTTTTTATCCTGTCTGCATTGCTGGTCTTCGCCGGGGAAGGGAGAGGGGAATCTTATCGACTGGCAAATACGGTCAGCACTACCGTCTTCATCGGAATAGGACGCCCTGTCATCATCGCTGCATCTGGACTGCAAGTTGCACCTAATACAGCTCCAACGACTGGGTGTTGTATTCGGGTGAAGCTGGCAGCGCTACTGGATGACCCCTACCGGTAGCCGGCATGGCCCACCTACCGTCTTCCCCCGAACACGAACCTGGCTAAGGTCATCCTGAAGGCTGAAAAGCCCTCCTACCGTCTTCCCCCGAACACAACGCACCGTCATTTTAACTGCATCGGGACGGAAAGATAGTCTGTATACATTCATTATCAGGGTGCGTTATGTTCGGGGGAAGACGGTAGGTAGTGTGCCAGGGCCCTCGATTGAGGGCATACTAACACTAGCACTTTCTTAAATGAATCTGATCGCAATTACGGCCACGTCTGGATGGATGGATCTGACGGCAATCACGTCCAGAGCTTAGAAGAAAAAGTCCTGGCGTGAGAAAGCCCTGACAAGAAGGGGGGTAAGCTAAAAAAGGAAGGAAAAAAAAAAAAAACCGGACTTCCTCTGATTTTTCGTCAGAAAAAATAAATGAATTTCAACTTTTACGCTTTCGGTCATACGTGGCATTACCCCGAGTCGAGACGATTAGAGGGCGTTGGATTGATTAGTTAATTAAGTAATCACTTAATTAGTTTTAAGTCGTACGCTTCCGGTCATACGTGCGACAGGCGGCAAATTAGTAAATTACCCCCGAGTTGAATTTTTTACCCTTGTGTTAATAATTGGTTCCGCTAATTGCCCCCCTTGTGAAGTGTCCCCCCAACAAAAAGGCACTAAAGGATTACCCTGCGTTGGGAGTAAACGATAAATTGACGCCCTTGCTAACAAGTTTTCCACGGTGAATTGCGCGACTATGATTTACCGCACCGCGGTAAGTTACCAGCTACCACCGCGGCAATTTACCAGCCCCCGCCGTAAACTAACGGCCACCCCGGTAATTTAGAAGCCACCGCTGAAGCCGGATCAATTATTGGATCGTAAATTTCCGGAACAGATTCACCAAGTTACCAGTCACCGCGGTAGATTACCAGTCACCGCGGTAAATTACCAGTCACCGGGGTAGGTTTACCAGTCGTCGCGGTATATTTATCAGTCACGGCGGTAAATTATTACCAGTCACAGCGGTAGGTTTACCAGTCACCGCAGTAGATTTACCAGTCACCGCAGTAGATTTACCAGTCATCGCGGTAGATTGACCAAGTTACCAGTCACCGCAGTAGATTGACCAAGTTACCAGTCACCGCGGTCGATTTACCAGCCACCGCTGAAGCCGGATCAATTATTGGATCGTAAATTTCCGGAGCAGATTGACCGCAGTGACTCGTAAAATACCGCTGTAGATTACCAGGTAGATTACCAGTCACCCCGGTAAATTACCAGTGACCGCGGTAAATTATCAACCACCGCGGTAATTTACGACCCGCCGTGGTAAGTTGAAAACCACCCTGGTAAATTAGTTAACAGCGACCACGGTAAGTGGTCAGCTGTAAACTTACAGCGGAAGGAGGTTACCATTCCCCCTCGTAATATGACAGTTACGGCTGCGAGTTACAATTTACGATTACCGGGGGTTTTCTTTTTTTTCCCCCTAAAACTTGGACTATTTCTTGACTGCTGCGTGTCGTCCTTGATTGCCCGAGGGCCTCACTAATTAGCCTTCTCCTTATCGTTCCAAGTTTAACGGATGTGATTCGTTTTTCCCTATGTGTGTTTGTTTGGTGGTTGTTATGTGTCTAGGGCCCTAGTTGTACACCACTCGCCATCCGCCAGCATTTTGAATGCATAGGGACAGGGAGGCTGTCCAGATGCACTCAAAATCCTGGCGGATGGCTAGTTGTGCAACTAGGCCCTAGTAGTCTCCATCGGTGCAAGAAATCGTGTGTACGTTGGAAGGCAAGGGAGGGGGTTGGGGACGAATGAGATAGAGGAGATGGGAGGGGGGAGAAGGGAATGTGGAGCGCTTGGCGATATGAAAGTTTGTCTGAGTCGTTATGTATCTCTCTCTGTGCTCCCTGGCCCTCTCGCTACCGTCTTCTCCCGAATAGAACGTACGGTCGTTATAGCTGCATTTGGTGCAATTTTCAGTCTAGATACAGCCATAATGACCGTACGTTCTTTTCGGGGGAAGACGGTAGTTGAGCACCTTTGCCCATCTCCCCTGACTCCCCTCAATCCGTTACTCTCTCTCTCTCTCTCTCTCTCTCTCTCTCTCTCTCTCTCTTTTTCTCTCTCTCCTCTCTCTCTCTCTCTC